TACCTATGCATCGTTGTTTTTGTTCTAGCTCTTTTGGAACACAGGTTAGGTGACACATAATCTAAATTCTCCTTGGCTGTTTCATTTCCTCCTTTGTAATTATCTAAGGACAGATGCCAAGCATTCCTAGCTTTTGGCCAGAAACAGAAATAAAATCCTAAAGCGGTTCATCTAAGGGTCAGAAAGTATTGAACAGAAGCAGACCTTATGTGTGAAATTATACTCAGCACCTATTATATTGTAGGTATTTATTGAAGCAAAGCCCTCAGTATTTCTAAGTTAAAAAAAAAAAAAAGTCAAAATGGTTGACTAAGAGATTTGCGGGGTATTAACTGTTCCTCTCCTACACCAAGAAATCCCTGACAACTGTTGGTAGGTTGACATCCACGTAACAGCTAATGAAACCTTTTTTTTTTCACTAAACTCAGTTAAACTGAAATTTGAACTAGCAAAATACATTGCTAAAGAGGCAAAATAGTGAATATACTGAAATAAAGAAAATGGTTTAATCAGGATGTTGCCACAAAGCCAAAGGCATAAAAAGTACTTACCACCTTTAAGGTACATAAATGCTGTAAACCTCAACCTTAAGATGAAAAATTTACAAGTGTATTTTTGAAGAGTCAGTAACCCATGATAGTTTTATATGTAATATCAGTGTGAAGCACCATAAATGAACACTAAAACTGTTTACAATAGATCACAAGCACAGAAACAGAAGTATCAATTACAAGAATCAAGTAAGCAAACTAATTTCTATTTTCATTTACTTTATAAAACTTGATTAAATTGTAAGAAAATCTCTGATAATCTTAAGGGTAATAAAATGATAACAAACATGTTAATTTCTTTATTTACAAATACTACACAAATCAGGTCACTTTTTCTATCTGATTACATATTAAGATTTTATATTAAGAGCAGCAACATAAAATCTCAATGGGTAGAAACATCATTATTTGGATTAAAATACTTTACAAAACATGGATTGGAAGTTTAGAAACTAAAAAAAGAGGTAAGAGTGGAAACTATGGTGCAACTACTATAGAGATATTCAGGTTCGCTTTGTTTTTCTTATGTCTTAAGGTAAACAATGGCCTTCCCAAATGCATAGTACACTACATAAAAGATGCTGTAGACAAAGAGATGATGTAGAAGGCCACAAGAAATGAAAACAGTACAGACAGAGCACACATGAGCCAGGAGAATCTGAGGAGGCATAAAACACAAAGGGACAAGTCAGCTCCCTCGAGTTTCCTCAACTCTGAAGCAATGTACCTACCCCTAGTCTAACTGAAATTGGAGGCAATTTTTAAGAGACTGCAGTTCACTACTTACTCATCTAACAAAGAATTTTGTTTTTAAAGCAGACCTGCCTTGGGAGAGAAAGCCTGTATCAGGATTAAGTCCTTCTTGAGAGTTCAAGACTGATTTAAAAGCAAAAGACAGCACATTATGGATAAAAATTTTATCCACCAGTAAAACTGTTTTCTGAGTGGTTTAAAATCAAATACACAAGAAAGAGTAGTTTTCAGACTGCACCCACTAAACCCCTGGGAATGGGGTGTTTGGAATGGTACGGTATGACATGTACCTTCCTCCCCAACCTGGCCTTACTTCAATTCAAAAATTCCTAATTTGGTTTTGTCTTTTGCAGCTTTAGGATAGATTTCCTTAAAAACAGAAAAGAAAAAGAAAAAGGAACCTGATGTTGTCTCTACCTCTTGACACTGGTCTTTTCTTTAAGCTTCAAAACCACTGATAAGACTGAAGCTGTACTGCTGAGAAAAGCAATGAACTATAAACCCTGATTTTTATGTTTTATTAAAATATAAAATTTCAACAAAGATGTATATGTGAATCTTTAAAGCAAATGAGTACTTAGGAAGCAATAAAACTTTGTTATTCCAAACTCTCTTTAAATCTGTTTTATTGCTGCCTCTAGGCAGACAATATGGATCATGAACACTCCAGCCATACCTTACCTCCAAAGATGTTTCACTCAACAGCTGCACAGAAATCCTTTTTTGAGAGAACTTTAGAATGAGAATGTATAATTACCAAGACAAACATGTAAGGGCAAAATCTGTTAGTGTTCTTAACATGACCACTAACAGAACAGCCAAGTCCCACAACACCCCTCTGCACTCAACACAGTGTCAAAGCTGGAACAGCCACAGGGAAAAGATGTGTAACACATAGGCCAGTCGTCTTTGATAAGACCACAAAGAAAAGTGGAATTGCAAGAAAACGGAACTCAAGTGTTGGCCACTTATTCAAACTTCACTCCAACAAAATAGAACAAATTTCTATGAAAAAGATTCATTCAGTGAACATGACTTCTTTCTGTATTTTTTCCTGCACATAAAACAGAAGTTGCTGTCATTCTAGAATCAGTGATTACATCTTTTTAATTAGAAAAGTTTAATATTTACATGATTTTTATTGCTGTTTAACAAAAATTTTTTTGAAACTCACTTGTAGCATCCATCCAATAATGCATGAAAATTGCAATCCACCACTCAAGAGGATACAGTTATGGCTGAATGTGTCTGAAGCTCAGAGTTGAGTACAGCACAAGTAAGACAAATCCTTGAATGTCATTCGGTTCTTGCTGCTGTCATCTGTGTTCATCTCTCAGAAAGCAAAAGAATCCATCCGACATTTCAATAAATACCAAAATAATTGCCAAAAAATATATATATATAGCTTCCACGGACCACAGATCCAAGAAAGAGCAGTTCTGATGAATGATTCTCAGAATCAAGTGAGTTCTCCTTTAGTCCAATGAGATGATATCAGGAATGTTACTTCCACTGCTGGTTATGACCCCTGTCTCACTCCTGCTGCTGGATGAACTAACATGAGTACTGCTTTCATGGGAACTGGTGGTGGTGACAGACGTACTGCTTGCTGTTAAGGGTGAGGTGAGACTATCCAAAAACATAGGAGGACAGTACTGCTTGAAACAAACAATGATGCCAATGAGGAAAAGGCTACACTGATTTTAATAAATGAAAAACTGTTAGATATGCATAAGTGATAGTTGCATATTTAAATCCCATTAGGGTTTAAAAGTATCTCAAAACTTCACATCTTCAGATGAAAGGTGCATGAATTTAGCTTGCCATTTGACATTACTTAGTGAGTGCAGCATATTAGTGATTCTCTCAAAATGCATACAACATATCATATACACAGTTCAAAGCATAGATGATGTCAACAATGACTGAAGTAATTAAAAACTAATATCACCCCAACTGTCACACTTAATCTCTAAACAATCTGCCCACTAATTGCACTGACAGTTTAAATCACACTGTAAAATTCTAATGCTTCTTCAATGAGGTAGAAATACTAACATTTAACATTTCTTTAAGATTTATTGTCAAACTGATTCTTTGTGAATGCTAACAGTGACCAGCTGAATGATAGTGCTAGCCCCTTTTGTGTGTAGAAGTGATGATACTTGTGTAGTTAGATTTCATTCTAACATGGAGATTCCGCAGCAACTAACAACAGGATGCTCAGGATGACTTAAATGCAATATAAAAATTTTAGAACACACTGCAAATGAGACCTACTCTAATCTTCCTCAAGACGCCTGAAGACCCGTCTCCAAATGTTCAGATATCAAGTCCTTCTTACCATCTTCGCTACCAACTCCAAAACAAATACAAATCAGAGGATGTTTTAAAGATGACCAAGAGTACAGAGAGGCAAAAACTAAAAGCTCTCTTTTCCGATTTCCACCCTATTTTAGGTGAGAAACAACTGTACTGAATTCAACAAAGTGAGGTCTAATTAATATTCCAAGTGAGGTCTAATAACATTCCAAGAAGGTATGTTCTAAATCTGTGCAAAAGATCAATGAGGATATCCTATTTATTTAATATTTCCCATTCTGAATCTTATTCAGCTGGCTGTTGGAGATACTGCATTACAAAGAGGAACTTAAAAAAAATTGCTTAGGACCTGGTGGCGTGGCCTTGTGGCTTAAGTCCTCACCTTGACCGCACTGGAATCCCATACGGGTGCCAGATCTAATCCAGGGAGCTCTACTTCCCATCCCGCTCCCTGCTTGTGGCCTGGGAAAGCAGTCAAGGACGGCCCAATGCTTTGGGATCCTGCACCTGCATGGGAGACCTGGAGAAGTTCCTGGCTCCTGGTTCTGGATCGGCACAGCACTGGCCGTTGTGCTCACTGGGGGAGTGAATCATCGGACGAAGATCTTCCTCTCTATCTCTACTCCTCTTTATATATCTGACTTTGTAATAAAAATAAATAATCTTAAAAAAAAAGTTGCAAAGAATACATGATTTCAAGGACCATAACGGGAACAACCCTGGGTTTAAGCTGCCAAGCAGAAGAGCAATATATAAAACTCAGGCTACCTTTGAATAGAATTAAGCTACTTAATGTTGTAGACAGATAACTGTCTTGGTTCATCAGTAGGATGAACAAATTCAAGAGACAGTGGTTATAGGGGAGAAGACTGGTTCTTCAAAACCTTCTAAGAAGCCTTAAAAACTGCTGAACTGCCATACCTTCTTTGAAATCAAATCAATTTTAGTATACTGAGGGGAAAATCTGGAGAAAATGCCAATAAAGTTACATTTGTATTTATATTCCCTCTCAGCCTGTTGGGTGTGCCAAAGTATAAAGATACTCCTTTTCATTTATAAAATGAGTGCAAAGATGCAAGTAGCTCTGTTTCTCCCTAAATTCCTCCTTCCTTATACACATACATACAATGGGCACTTATCTGCACAAGGATAACAGCAATTAAAGGATAGTAACAAGGGAAATTAGAAAAACCTATGGATTTTAGAGTAAAGTGAAGGTACAATTTTACCTCTCTTCTCCTAATTTTTGAAATAAGTTAGCTCACTATGTGTGCCTAATAGAGCTATAACATAAAAATCTTAGGTTTTAAGATTAATAAAAAAAGGTACTACTTACATGGAAAAATCAATAGTCTTTTAATAGAAAAAAGCCCATTTCTTAGAAAAACAGGTGCCTTTGACTACAGAAGTTAACACCTATTAATGCTGCCAAAGCCTACTGCATATCGTCTTGTCTCAGATTTCCAGGTCTGTCTGATTAGGTGCAGAGCCTAGAACAGGAGGCTGATCCCAGCAACCCTGGAGGCAGTGGCTGACAATTCTTCCTCTATCCCTTCCTACATTTAACATCAGCTATTTGTACCTTTTTCCAACTGATTCACATTTTCCTTTTTCTTTTCTGATGTCTCTCCCAACTCTGCTTGGCCTATGCTCTAAACCTGTCAGGGAATCCCATGCTCACTGGTCTTTCAGGCCAGAACCCTAGGAACCCAGAGTTTCTTATCTTTGATAGAGACAACAGGTATGACTGGGATACAGCAACTTTTAACTGGGGCACCCCAAAGTCTAAATTTGACTGTCCTACAAAATGGAGAACTAAGCTAATGAATCAAGTCTGTTTAATCAGCAATATCTATTACTTTCCATGTATATAATGATTACATGCAACCAAATATTTGACTTGTACAATTTTAACCTCCAGATCAACACTACACTTATTCTCAATACTCAGACACTTCCAAGAAATGCCACTTGACTGAGTTTGATAAATTAAAAATGTAGGTATAAAATTTAAAGAACCAAAAAACAGCAACTTTATTTTTCCTAATGTAAGTTTGGATAGTTACACAGTACATATTTTTCATTAGTGTTAAGTAATGAAGTGTTGTCTGTCCTGATTTTATGCAACTGGTCATTTTTAGTTAGTATGACATAACCAACAATCAAATACAAATTAGTTGCTTAAATTCAGGATACATACCTGGGGATCAACTGGAATAAGGGAAAGAAAATCCAAACCTAAAACAAAAATGCTTTGTTAATAGTTGTCTCATATTTTGGAGACTAGAATTATTTCCCCAATTCATTCTGTATTTCTTGTAAGTCACAAAACTCTGGTTATTCCTTCCCACTGTGCCATACGAAGGTTCTATATTATAACCAGGGATAGTTAATGTGCATGAAACCCAAAACTGAACCCAAATTTTGTAAGACAATTAAGGAAAACCTTTCCGCAACTCAAGAGGCAGCAGTCCAAAGAGCAAGAGACTGGTAAAACAGGTGTCTCCTCTTTTACCACTTAACAGGATGAGAGGCAATAAATGATTAGACAATGATCATATGTGTTCTTTCTCGCTCTCTCTAAAGCATACTAATGCTCATGACATACTTTTTATTTATTTATTTTTTAAAAGGATCACATTAAGGTAGACCTAAAATATCAATTTAAACAGATGTCTACTTCACTGACAGTCACTGCCCCTCTGTTCCCACATTAAGTAGACAGTTTGATACTCTGTACAAATCAAGTGGCTGGAAGAGCTGCTCACTAACAAGCCCAAGTGTATCAATGGGTACTGCGTTCTAAGCTAAAACAGTTTTCTAAGTCAAAGAATTTTCCAACTATGGTTTAGAAATAGGAATGCTAAAAACACTGCCCAATAATATCACTCTCAAATAATACTAAAACTTCAAGATTAAAGCAATAAACATCAAAGGCAGTTCCGTCAGACTTCCCTATGTATCTACACACTCAATTGTTTCAAAACATTAAAAATCAAATATGAGGGGTAAGTCATTAAGAGCGGCTAATTTCTATTCAACCCATCAGTTTTATAGGATGGCATTCAATATCACCCCCAAATGTAACAGCCACATAGAGTGCACATTTGATGTTGTGACTCAAAACACAGTGTTATCAGAGGAAATGACTTCTAAAATATTTAGTATCCTGTATGAACAATCTTAACTCAAAAACTATGAAGTATACTTATTCTGTTACAATCTGTAAGTATTACAAATATAAGGTGCAGCACCAACCATGAGAAACAAAGTCAAATAATATCTGAAGCATGTTAAACTGTCAATTTCTTATTTTAGACCTATGTCACTAGTTTGATGATACAGCAGTTTAAGCCAACAATGGAAAACAGAATTACCACAAAATCTTCCAAGGACAATCCCATTAAATCAATCATCACTAAGTGACAGAGCTCAGTATGTAGAGAGCTACTCTCTTCAAATTTTTCATTTTTTTTTTCAGAAAATCCTTTTTTTTTTTTTGGCTGAATGGTATTTCAGTAATTGTTTCCCAAATTTTGACAGTTTGTTTTATACATTCAGCATCTTTATTATGGACTATGATAAAAATCCTACTAGAATATTATTTATATGATTGCTTTAATTTTATTTAGCTGTAAATAACATTTTTTATAGTCAAAATTTTATGTTCAGTTGTCTTCAATATTTATTAACCCAGAAACTTAAACTTTAATAACTCATAGCTTACTTTATGGAGAAATAACTGCTAGAATACTGTAAATTAAAGTCAAATCACCAAAAAATGCTCATTTTCTTAATGTTCAACTACCCCATGTCATAATTTCACTTTATATAAATACACAGGCTTGTAATTCAAACTGTTTTTTGTCTATCACTGGAGGATGTATATTAAGATCACAAACTCTTATCTGATTTCAATGTCCATGTTTTCAAAAATAATGCAGTTTTCACTGATGTTTTCACGAGTGTAGTGAACAGAAAGTCTATTAAGAAAGGAATTAAGAGATTGACTTGATCTGAATTCCTACATGACTCAGCCATGGACAACAAGGATATGGTGACTTATACAATGCTATAATGAATTTCTAAATTTCAATCACAACTTTTAGATTGTTCTCCAATAACACAGATACTATAACACAAGTGCTATCTACACAAAATCCATTAGGTTTTAGTGTAAATATTTGATTAAAATAACTGTTTCTGAAATACTACCAGTGAAGTTTCTTATTTTCAGCTGTTATTCCTTCTAATAAGAGCTACACTAACAAAGTCCTACATTTTTAAATTTTAACATTAACTTTTATATGAAAGTTTAATCAATAGTGATTAAAATTTTACCGCCTCATTAAAGTGATAGCAAAATATTATTTCCTTATTTCACCAAGTTTCAGTTGTGACAAAAGTCATATTGATATGTTATATGCTCTCCAAGCATCTTATGGTTGAAAATGCTCACTTTACCTAAAAAGTAAATGCTATTAAAATTTTGGATGATACACACTAATTGCTTTTGAGTTTTGAAGTGCTTCATCTCTGGAAACTGATTTATTAGCTTTCTTCCTCATGGATGATAATACATTTTCCTTACCCAGGTCATAAACTTTAAACAAAACAGGACTACTACATGATTAAATATGTAAATGTTTAGCACTTTCAAATTTTAATGATACAACTTTTGAGCACCATTCGCACCTGACAATATGGCACTAGCAATAATAAGGCAGTCATATTTTTTCTTGAAATAATCAAGCTGTTTTCCATTCCATAAATACAAATTATTTGTTTTATTTTGCATCATTCATTGTTGCACAGAATCAGAAGATGCTCCAAGCTGCAGTTCATTATTAATATCATTTCTTCTTTGTTCTCCTGCAGATTCAGAAGATTCATATTTATGATGTTTAAAAGGAATGTTAAGAAATTTATTAAAACTTTGTCATCTCTCCGGTCTTGATGTTCTATTTAATACTTTATTATATAACTATTAAATTTATCAATACAAAAATTCTGCACAGTATGACTTACTACATAAATATTATACACAAAGACCAAAGTAATTACTAAATACAAAACAGTACTGTAACAAAAAAAAATTAAAAAGCAAGGTAAAAACTAAAACTAGAAAGGTGTGAGAAAACTACTAAGAGAAATAACTAGAATCTGCTAATACTTATAGATTCCACTCTACTCAGTCCATCAACTGCTAAGAAAACCTGTCGCTATTTTAACAAATTTTACCATCTTTGTTTATACTGTTTACAAGCCAGCCCTGGATCTTAGTATTTCCTGATAGCACTGAAGCACATTTTACCACATACAGTTCAGACATATTTTATTGCATTTTTCTCAAATATACACATGTCTTCAGACACAAAATGTGATTTCCTGTTCAAGTTTTGAAATAAATTCTCCCAAATTAAAAATTCACCCAGATTCACATAACTTTGTACATTGTGTCTATGCTTTTACTAAATGATCAGATCATATTAAATGAACAGAAACTCTCCCTGTCTTGTTTCACTTCAATTTTTCTGGAGTGCTCATTTATAAAGCATACCAAGACCACACATGAACACTCTGCAACTAAGGAAATGTTAAACACGTGACAGAAAAGAACAACCTAAACAAATTTCAAGTGGCAAAACTAATCTGAAGTAAATGATGTTTTAACAACATAAATGTTGTCCAATAGACATTATGTTTAAAATAAAGACCTCAGTAAGAGAATGAAGAAAAAGAAACCTTTGATCAAAATCCATTTCATAAATCCAGAGAAAAAAATTAATAACAAGGGGAAGAAACTGTTTTCCAACAAAAGGGTTTCCCTACTTTGAACAGTAAGGAATGTGACAAATGCAAGTGGCACTGTTCTGATGTGCTCAAAAGTGACCAAAAAGACCACATAAAGAATGGCTATGGAGGGAAGAAGAGGAGTAAAATCTTACATTACAGCTTTGGTTGTACAAACTCTGGTACTAAGGGTACTCTGGTACTAATTTAAGAAACCCTGAATTTTAGTTATCACAATATTTAACTATCCCTGAATATTAAAAAGAACTGTTTGAGAAAAACATACTCAATATTACTTTTATATGGAGAAACAGATGATAAACAAATGGTCCAAACTGACATCAATATATTCTGAAGTTGACAAGCTACCAAGAGGATGAGAAAGTTCTCTCCCTAATCTGCAAAGAACTTAAGACAAACACCCCAGGGGAAAAACCACTTGGGCACAATCTATGCATAAAAGCAGTTCCATGAAATTCCCTTGCATCTTATTAGATTTTCTGTCATCACAAATCCAGATTGCACTGTAGTTAAAATGATACTTTTATATTAAGCCTTAATCTCTTGCACCTGTATTTAAATTTTTAACTAAAATTTGCTCCACAGATTAAAGGCTTTTCAACAAAAACAAAAACTTTCCACATACCTGGCAAATCTGATGTCATGCTTGACATTGGCGTGTGGTGGAATGGTACTGAGTAGTCTGTTAATGAAGGCGGAATAGCAGCAGGATCAACCGAAGTCACACTGGGCACCCTTACAGGTGGCTGATACATGAGAACCCTGTTTTGAACAGCATGGGAAATGACAATCTGGCTGTTAGTTCACAGTTAAGGAGAGCAGTACCACTGGGCATTCCCCGCTCTTTGTTCACTAAATTTTGGCACAACTCCACAGCTCTCACACACATCTATTCTAAGTACTCCACTCTCCTACTCCCCTCTTTCTTCAGCCTTCCTTTTGGCATGGGTGCCTCTCACACAGCTCTACTGCAACAGCAAGATGCATTAAAATATCACACATATAGTGCTGAAGTAAGACTCAAATTCTTTAACCACAAACAAATACACTTTACATGAGATTTTGTTAATAAAGATGTAGCATGTACATGGATATTATGAATTTTATATATGAAGATTAAAAGTTAAAAGGAAGACACTTAAGATTTGATTTGAATCAGGCACCTCTCTAAGCCAAGCCACTCACTACAGTTCAACCAGAATTTCAACTGTAATTTAAACCATTTTATTTATTTGCAACCTTATCTGGAAAACACCTAAGCTCAAGCCTGGCAACCTGGCAGCTACAAGCCCACAACAGTTGATTAGACTAAGCTGACAATTTAGAATTTAAAATATAATAATCAGAAGTAAAAATTGGCTATGACAATAATAACATCTCTTCTAAAAGTTCGTGACTGACTTAGAAATAAGCTGTTCACACTACTAAAAATAAAAAAAGCTAAAAACATAGACTACTTTACAATTTAATATTATATACATATACACCTATATCACTAAATTTCAAGCAGAATAATTAAGCACATTTTTGAAAAATTCCAGGTTTGAAGAAATACTTATGCATACATCTTAATACACATTTTCTCCTAGCCCAAGGAAACGATCAGAGCTTCCCATGAAAAATACTCTGAATGCAAGAGGAAACTGAGCAATAATGATGATTTCAGGACTAAAGGTGATCAACCTATCAACAGCAATGAGATGCAAACAGAGAGAGAGAGAAAGAGCTTTCTGAGAAACATCTTTCTTAAAATCAAGGCCATGAACACAAAAAACAGAGCTGGGGCCGGGCCAGGCCAAAGTCAAAAGGACAGAATTCACTTTGGTCTCTCATCTAGATGGCAGGAACCCAAGTATCTGAGTCAAAATGTACAGTCTGTCAGGACATGAACTGACAGGAAGCTGGAATCAAGAGAGGAGCCAGGACTTGAATCTACGAACTCAACAACTAAGAATGAGAGGGTCCCCAGTGGTGTCTTAACTACCACACCAAATAATCACCCTAGAAATTGTCTTTCAATATCAGAAGTCTTTTGGATTTTTGGATAAACATGCTAGTTTCTCCTGGTAAGCACTACAATCGTTTGCAAAGAAAGGAGTTAGGATTTCCATCAAAATGTTAACAGTGACTCTCTCAAGGTCAGAAGCTTTGTACTGTCTTCTTTGTGCTTTGTAAAACTGCTTACATAAATTTTAACATTATACTTCTTAAAAAAAAAAACTGATCAGGGCCAGAGTTGTAATGTGCCACCATCCCATATGGGCAACAGGTTGATGTCCTGGGTGTTCCATTTCCATTTCAGCTTCCTGCTAACGTCCCCCCACCCCCCGCAAAAAAAGCAGTGGCCTACACACCCGGGTCATCATGTGGAAGCTGTGTAATAATCTGGTGCCTGGCTTCAGCCTTACCCAGCTGTAACCAGTGAAGGGCACAGGGGAGTGAACAAGATCTCTCTCTCAAATAAATAAACCAATTTTAAAAAGCTGACTGCATAATTTATCAGCTGGTAAAAATAGGTTATCCTGATTTTTTATTCTCTATTCTTTCTCATTTGCTTAGTGTTACTAAGCAGTCCAATGGCAAACCTAACACAAATGAGGAAAACTGCAAACTTTATTCAACATTGAGCCACAAAAAAGGATTTGAAAGGGATTAAAGGAACAAAACCACAAAAGCCAAAGAGCAGGAAGAGATCACAGAGACTGCTCTGTGCCAGAGCCTCACTATGATACTGTGAAATATGATATCAATGATAATGTGGAAAACGTGATTTCAGCACAAATACCAGATATGTGGTCTGAAAGTCCCAATGAAAAATTTTTCTATCTTTCCATTCTGCCTACATGTGCTCAATGGCATTGATATAACCCAGCTACTTAATGCCTCCTTTTTAAGAACTAAAAGGAAGCTATCACATTGTTCTGGTTGGCCAGCTACAATCTTAAGCCCCATTCATCCAACATGCTCCCGGTCCCAGTGTTTGACCTTCCTGTTCCACCCTAGCTGTCCTCACTTGATAACACCTGACAATTAGGACTAACTATAATGCACTAGGTAGAACCATATAGGTTAAAGGGACAAAACTGGAATGGTCGCCACTCCTGTGCCAAGCAGGCTAGAGGGCAGCAATTGTGCAGCAGTGGCCCGTGGGAGCCTGAGGATGCGGGCTCTGTGGTGAAGCTGGTAGGGGGACTGAGGGGCGCTCCCCTGATGGACCACTGCTCCCAATGGTGAGCATGAGAGATGGAATGGGGGCAGATCAGGCCAGGCTGACTGTACCTACTGGCGCACGCATAAGTCAGAGTGGGTGTGGTTTGGCTGGGCTTTGCCTTACCATCAGATGGCAGATGCTGGCATGGGGGGATGCAAATTCCAAGCTAAACTGCAGAACCACCTGGACAGTGCAAAATCTGGGACTGGAAGTAGCCCCATTAGAAAAAAATTGGCATCTTCCTCTTGGGTTGCCACTCCCACTGGTGAGCAGGCATGGCTAGACAGAGAGTAGCAGCCACTAGAGCCAGTGTGGACTAAATAGTGGGGATGGTTGGGTTGAACTAGGCTTCAATATCCACTGACACATATGAGAGCTTAATGGGATGTGGGACAGCCTGGATCAATCTGCTGTATAAACTGACAAACACAAGACCCAGGCCAGCAGGCAGGTCTGGTGGAGGTTTCTGCGGGGTCACCACAACTAGACTGGAGTTCCCACTAGTTTGCAAGAAGGCCAAGTGTTCGGTGGGGAGAATCGGGCTGGGCTACAACAACCATTGGTTTGTGCAGAAGATAGGCTGGGGGCTGGAAGCAGAACTGACCCAGCCAATTGCAACCACCAGCACGTGCATAAGCTGACTGGGGCAACAGACTGCGCCAGACCCTGTATTGGCAAGCACACACAAGAATCAGGTCTGGGATCATCTCAGATTAAGTTTCTTTGGGGATTCCCCACAACTGAACTGCTGAACTCAGAGCCCCACCCATAAAGAGGAGTGCAGGTTCCATGGTCTGTGGAGTGTATGTGTCAGAACTGGGCTACTTCTGTGGCTACTTCTGAGCAGTCGACAGCATATCCAGGTGCACATGGAGAATATGGCAGTACCTTGGAACCTGCAGACGACACCTGGTACCATAACAGAGCACAGAGAACAGAACAAATCGATCAACTATCCCAGCCAAGCACTGGCACCAAATATCTGGGGCACACAGAGACTCTGAGGTGGTCTATGTCAGCTAGTGGATTCGGGAAATATTTCATCATGCTTGGAGCAGCAAGACTGACAGCAATTCAGAATTGCTGAACTATCAAAACCACCTGAGCAGGACCCCTGAAGCATGCCCCACATCTGGGACCCTAGGATGGCATCAGGTGGCTATCCTCCATACCAGGGTACAGAGGTATTTGGGTGCTGAGTGTGGCTTCCCCCCTAAACTCCCCCTTTTCCTCACATGCAGGAAGAAAAAAAGAAAACGTAGAAACAATGGTCTAACTTTGCTGTAACCCTTAACCCCTCTGCACCCCAAACAACTATGTAAAAATCATCAAAAATAAAATAAAAATAAATAAATAATTTAAAAAGGGATCAAACTGGTAGAGTACAAAGACTAGATGTCAGACTTCTTTTATTAATGCTACCTAAAAAACAAAAACAAACTTCAGTAAAATCTTCAAACTAGTAAGAGAACTCTGAGATTTCAAAGTTTTTATCAGGAACAGCTATTAACCTATTTAAAAAGTCTTTCCAACATCTATTAAGATGCAAATATAAACGTCCTTTATGACAAGTTTCACCTTTTCAGCTTATTCTAATAGTAAAGCACTCAGGAAAATGATCTGATAATAGTGGATATCATTTTACTACACAAAGTGCTTTTAAGATTAAATCAATTTCTTTTGTTTATTTCCATGAGGATCTGTTTCCCAAGGGTTCTCATATGTATGTAATGCTACATAATGGAAGCTTACTGTAATTCTATGATTTTAATGCAACGAGCATGACAGCTGTAACTTACATACACTTCATAAACCAAAACTTTTGTTAGCTATAAATATTCACTTATAAAAGTTTCATTTCTTGTTTTGCTTTTTGCTTCAATCTCAGTGATAGACCCTAGCCCTGGAGTAGCTGACCATAGGCATATACCCCATCCTTAGTCCTCTGCATGCTAAGGTCATCTCAGATTTGTTAAATGTATATCATTCCTCTAGTTTCATTCCCCCATCAAGATTTGATAAAAATGTGGTAAAGGGCAGACAGGAGACCCCTATGATAGGCACCAGGAACGCCCTTCAAGATCACAGCAATTCAGCAGTAAGCACCATTATGTACAACAATGTACTCACAACCCACATTTTTCCAGCCTCTATTCTGAAGGACTCAATAAAGTAAAATCCAGAAAAATCATATCTAAATGTTCATTCAGGATTTACTACATAGCAATACACATTTCAAATCTTTATATATATACGTACATGTACATATATATGTATTTATCAATCATTCATATCAGAAAACTCATTTGAAGTGCTTTCCTCATTTTCTCTTCCATTGAAATAAAATCTCAAAATAGGTAAAAGAAAATATGTGCCCTTACTGTAATATGTAAGCCATATTTGTAAACATAAATATGTTAACAATGGGAGACATGGAGAAAGCTCCTGGCTTCGGATAGGCTTAGCTTTGGCTATTGTGGCCATACGGGCAGTGAACCAGCAGATGGAAGACCTTTCCTTCTCTGTCTCTTCTCTCTGAAAATCTGCTGTCCTAATAAAAATAAATAAATCTTTTTTTAAAAGATTGATAGCTATAGAGCTGTTTTAAAGTAATTATTTTACAAACATAAAAATGAATGTTGTAAAAGTACATCAAGTGGTGCCCACACAGTGGTGTAAGTAGATTAAGCCACCACATGCAATGCCAGCATCACATACGGGCAGCAGTTCAAGTTCTGGCTGCTCTCCTTCTGATTCAACTCCCCACTAAGGATCTGGAAAGGCAAGACAGACCAAGTACTCGGGTCCATTATTCACATGGGAGATCTGAATGGAGTTCCAGGCTCCTGGATTTGACTTAACTCAAACCCAGCTACTGTAGTCATTTAAAGGGTTCTTCTCTATAACTCAGAAAAGAAAAATGTATCAAGGGAATGAGCATTTAAAGCTCAGTGATGAAGACATCCATGTCCCAGATCTCTACTAATTACTGTTTTTAAAATTTTTAGGGAGTCAGCACTGGCTGCTCTAGTAATTGGACTCCTACCACCCACATGGGAGAGTCCTACCTCCAAGCTTCGCACTGGAGCAGCCCCTGGTGTTTCAGATATTTAGGTAACAAACCAGCATATAGAATGTCTAATGTTAAAGGAAGAAAGGAGTATACTAAGAGTGTAATTCCACATACATAAAGTGCCTAGGTTAGGAAAATCTGTGAAGAAAAAAAGCTTAATTTTTACCTAGATGTGGGCTATGAACTAGAATAAACTTCAAAAGAATGTTACGCTGGTCTCTACAGGCATCAAAATTACACTAAGGTCTGACATGGTGGCTCAACAGGCTTAACCTCTGTCTGCAAGTGCCGGCATCCCATGTGGTTGCCAGTTTGTATCCCGGCTTCTTTATTTCCTATCAAGCTCCCTGCTTATAGGTGGAGAAAGCAGTGGAGGATACCCCAAGTCCCTAGGCCCCTGAATTCACATGAGACCTGGAAGAAGTTCTTGGCTCCCAGCTTCAAATTGGCTCAGCTGCAGCCATTACAGTCATTTGGAGAATAAATCAGTGGATGGAAGGCCTCTCTCACTTTCCTTTTCTCTGTAAATATCTTGCAAATGAAAATAAATATTTAAAAAGACACTTTAATGCTGGATGGTTACAGGTACAACTCCATGAATTTTAACAAATCACAGACTTGAGTTACTATATACCTAAGATGGCTAAATTTTGTTGCATATATTGTACCTCAAAAACCCAGTTAGGGGGGAGAATGTGGATTGATACACCATCAAAGAGGTGAAACCAGCAAGTGTGACAACATATACACAAGGATTATCAAAGGAGACCTGGTTACTTACTTTCTTACTTGTTCCAAAGTTTCCCTGTAAGAAGCACCTGTTGTTAAAAAGGAATGACTACAAGAAGATGACTCATAACATACACATGCTAGAATGCTCTGTGTTCCCATATTTGGTTCTGGAGATAGTGAGAAAGGAAGGGAATCAATTTTCATTGAAAAGCTACCATGTACCTAGACACTGAAGCTAAGTTCTTCCACTATTTCAGTGAAACTCAGTAATAAGTCTATGAGGTAGACATTATTCATCGCCGTTTTATGGAATAAAGGCAGCACAAACAAATACTTCATCCAGTATCACAGACAAGCAAATAACTGTGCTAACATTGGAATTCATACTCAGATTCCCAATTCCATACTCCATTTTACCAGATTTCTGCGTGGTGGTCAGAGATGCAAAATTTCCTTACAAACAGATTTAGCAAAAAACAAAAATATCAGGTATGAAATAATACATCAAGTTCTCACCTCTCCCAAGATGTGAATCACATTTTCTTCATCAAAATTTGCCAAATCAAAAACAATCTCCTTACTTGAAATAGATGGCCAATTAAAATAACTTCTACAGCTATGCTGCTTCTCTAAGAGACATGTACAAACCTATCTCAAGAACACTTGGTCCCAAGCATAACAATGGAGAACTATAAATTAACAAACCCTTTGGTTGGGCTGCTTTGTGTTTCTGACATAAAAATGCATTTCCTTTTGGCAGGAGGGTCTTCATCTTCATCAGAAGAACTTTCTATTGTTAGGTCAATAACATCCACTTTCTTCTTGCTTGCCTCACTGGCTACAGTTACTGAACAAGGCTTACTGAGGACACTTGAACCTGTATGCAATAAAACAGAAGGAAGAATATCAAAAGTATGATGCAAACTTTAGCTGGTCAAGTCTTATTTGTCAAGTAGGTCTAGGGCAATACACAACTGTGAAGCTACACGCTCTGTCCCTAACTCTCGATAGATTTGAACAAGGACAGTTTCCCAGCGGAGACAAAGGAAGTTCTGCCCCTTGACAGCACACTTGCTCCTTATGTATGCAGATCCTGCTGCACAATCTTCTTCCCAGGAGACAAGTCATTTCAGACAGAGCTCTGCAGTTAGGAAATTGGTCTCGGATCATGGCACAGAGAATGTAATTTTATCAGCTCTGTGTTTTCACAAACATGTGGCACAATTAAGTCAGATTTCAACATTTGTATTCTAGCAATCATGCTAATACAAACATAAAACATCACATCTGAAATGTTAATTCTTTTCACAGAAAGGTACATTGTTTGAATCATGGCTAATAAAAAAAAGGCAGCAGTAACCAATCATCAAAAGGCTTCTCAATTTTCTCAAAGACTGGAGAAACCCTGATCACTGTACTCAAGTTCAGTGTCAATCACATAGGAGTCATTAATTTTGGCATAATTCCTTAATTTTTTCCATCTCTTCTTACTCTGACATAAAAATGCATATTCCTTTTGGCAGGAGGGTCTCCATCTTCATCAGAAGAACTTTCTATTGTTAGGTCAGTGAATAGAAAAATCTATTCACTTCATAAATTACATTATTTGTTAGAATTTCAAATACAGTCAGAATAAAACTCAAATGCAGTCAGAGGATTGTATCAGATTTAAAAAGAAACTTTAAGTATGCCTAAAAGTTTCAGTTACTTGAACTGAATGTAGTTTGCTTGCTCAGTATAGACAAGCGCAGAAAACTAAGCTGAAGACTAAGTGTAAACATTCTAGTTAACATTTCCTTCCCAAAAAAATCAAAGGAAATTTTTTCCCTTTCTTAGCAACCAACCTGTGATTGCTACCTTTCCTTATTTATTCATCAAACATATAACCTCTCCAGGCAAACCTCTACCTATAATTATCTATATAACCTCTGGAAATAATTTTGAAAAATGTTTCATGGAGTTATCAATTATGTTTTGTTTTATCACAAATTTTAGTTGGTCCTTAGCTGCAGGCATCTGCCTAGGTTGCATTGTACCTAAACAGGTGTTACACTGCTAGGAGAAAACAGCTAACAGCTGGTGGGTATCCTGGGCCTGGTTAATGCCAAATTTGTGTTAACTATACCAGTGTGCCAGTATTGTTGTCTATTCCACACACACAAAGATATGTGGGGGATAGACTACAGCACAGCAACAGACTGGGAACCAGCACAAGTATGCCTGGGCCCTGGGCAGGCAGGCTGGCATGGCACACTGCCAGACAACCAGACATGGGACACTATGGATCACTCAGAGAAGTAGGTCTGGAGATGTGTGGAAGGGGGGATTGCTAAGGGATATGACATGACAAGGAGCGACTTCTGGGGGTGGGGTGGGAAACTTCATCCAGCCAGGCTACTGAACATGCAGTTAAAAGAGGGAGCTAAGACCAGGTGGTTTTGAGGAGGGAATCTGAGGATCTTCGGAGGCCAAACCAAACACCTGCCTATGTGGGAGACCTGAACTGGGAGTGTTGGTATCGACCACTGCCCACTAGTACACACAAAAGCCATGACCGGAAGCTTGCCTGGAAGGGTTCAATCACAGTACCTACCAGTTCGTGCTGTGACAGGGGGTGGACATGTTAAGATTGGGCCATAACACCAGTTCACACAGAACTGGGTCTGGTAGCAGATTTTGTGGGGGATCGTGGGACCACCCCAATGGGACTGCCATACCATCTGGTATGTTCAAGGGCTGGGGGTGGTGATAGGCCATGCTAGGCATGACCATGGAACTCACTCACACTCATTGGTACTGGGGATGAGAATAAGCCAGGCTGCTGCAGGCTGTAGAACCCACAGGCACACCCTAGAATTGGCCAGGCCACAACATCCACCAGCACACACAGAGGCTGAGACTCCTGGAGCAGACTGTATGGGTGATGGCCAAACACCTGACGGCACACATGAGATCTGGATCTGGGAGTGGGCCGGGTGGGGGGACTTGGGGAGTTCCGCTGGCGAGCTTCACTACTGTTGGTGAGCACATTGAGTCAGGGCTGATACTGGTCAGGCTGGGCAAGGCTGCTTCACTTGTTGGCAGGGGTGTGGGTTGGTTTTGTAGGGGGGTGGATCGGACAGGGCCAGGCCAAACAATAGAACACTGGCATGTGCAGGAGCCAGATAGCGTGTGGGATATGCTGGGCTAGTATAGGCTATCACACCTACTGGTTTAGATGAAAGGAAAGGACTGGGGCAAGCTGAGCAGATCTAGGCTACAGCATTCACCATTAAAAGTTGGGACTTACGGCAGGCCAGGCCAGGCCAGGCTGCATCATCTGATGGCACAGGCCAAGGTAGGTGATAGGTTATGCTGGGCTGCGTCACAGCAACCACTGGCATGCACAAGATCTGTGACTAGGGACAAGCTTGGTTGGAGACATAAGGGGCTATCTCTGCTGGGCTGCAGTTCCCACTAGTGAGTGTGACAGCTTGAATGGAGGCAGCAAACGGCTAGACATGGCTATAGCATCTCTTGGCATGGGTGTGGACTGGTTCTGGGGTGTTCCAGACTGAGCTATGCTCCAGCAATCACTGGAACTCACAAGAGCCAGGTAGTTGCAGGACAGGCTGTGCTAGGTCTCTTGTGTCACTGAACGATGCAAGAGCTGGGACCGAGGATAGGCCTCTAGCACCCAACAGTAAGACTTGGAATGGGTGTGAGCTGACTGGGCCAGCTGCTGTACCTGCCAGGACAGGAGGTGAGCCAAGTCAAGCTAAGTCAAGAACCCACCAGTGTGTGTGAAATCTGCCACTGGGAGATGATCTGACAGAGGAGCTTGGAGAACTCTTCTGTCAGGACACAGTCCCTGCAAGTGAGCACAAGAACTAAGACTAGGAGCAGCCCAGGCCAGTATACAAAACTTAGTGGCATATGTGAAAGTCAGGTCAGGGGGCGGGCCAAGCTAGGCCAGTTCATGGCAGATGTGAGAACCAGGATGGGCTCTAAGATGGACTAGGTTGGGCCACTTCATCAGCCAATTGACATTAGGGTCGTTCACATTAGGACTGGTGGCTGGTTGGGCTGGGCTAGGCTGCAGCATTCACCAGCATTAGCTCAAACTGGGGACAAGGCGAGCCGAGCCAGGCTATAGCACCCGCTGGTGGATGCCAATATGAGGTGGGCCATGCCAAAATGGGATGCAGCTCCCTGCTGGGCCATACCTCTTGCTGGTAAGTCTGAGAGCTGGGACTGGGGACAGAACAGGCTGGGCAGGGCTACAAAAACAAAACAAAACAAAAAAATGCACTAGTCTGCCTACGGGCTGGGTTAAAGGGAAGAGCCAGGCTGGGCTGACAATATCCACTAGTACATTCATGAGCGAGGGTAACTGGGCCTTGTCAGCCAATGGACCTTGGAAAGATTGGATTTCTTCAACCTTGGAGTGGCAAAATCAACAGCATCTCAGGACTATCAAGTGCAAGTGGCAGCATCAGCTGTCAAGTGCTGGGACTGGGGGCAAGTCCTGTCAGACTAGATCATAAAATCACCTGGAAAGTGCAAGATCTAGGACTGATATTGGGCCCAGTAGGGAAACTGTGGGTAACTCTCTGATGGGCTGCAACTTCCAGTGGGAAGCATGAGAACCAGGACTGGGGGAGAGCCAGCCTGCATAGGTGATAGCACCCACCAGCACAAATATGGGCTGTACAGCGGGGTTGGTTGGGTTGAGCTAGGCTCCAATTCCCATTGATGTGTATGAGAGCTGAATGGGATGTGGGACAGACTGGACCAGTCTGCTACTCATATCAACATGCACAGGAACCAGGGCAAGGAGCAGGCCTGGTGGGGGTTACTGGAGGTTGCTCTGACTAGACTGCAGTTCCTCCTGGTGTACATGAGGGCACAGAGTACGGTGGGCAGGGTTAGGCTGGACTATAGCATCCACTGGTTTGCATAGGAGAGGAAACTATGAACAGAACTGTCCAGGTGACTGTGTGTGTAGGCTAATGTTTGTGATGGACTGAGCTAGTCCATACACTAGTTTGTACACGCAGGAGTCAGGTTGGGGTCAACTCTGACGACGTTTTTTTCAGGATCCAACCAACTGAATCAGAGGACTCAGAACTCCAACCATGGTGAAAATCACATAACATGTGATTTGAGAATGGAGTGCATGTGTGAGAATTGGGTCTCCATGGCTGCTGAGGCAGTGCAGTGGACAGCATGCCCAGATGCTCAAGACATGACAGCTAATTAATTGAAGCCTGCAGAGAATGTCTACTACCATGGAGAGCAGAATAAATTAGACAGCTCCTCTGCATCGGGGCAAATCCAGACTCTAAGGTGGACTACGTCAGCCAATGGACTTCGGAAAGACTGGATTTCCTCAACCTTGGAGCGGCAAAATCAACAGCATGTCAGGACTATCAAAGTCACTCAAGCAGGATCCACAGAATGTGCTCCACATCAGGGACCCTGGGATGACACTGGTTGGCCTTTCCATTCCCAGGTGGTTGGCCTGTTGGGAGTGGCCCTCTCACCTTCTCTCCCCTCTTTCCCCAGATACAGGAAGAAAAAAGGAGACTGGAGGCAGTCATCTCATCCACTTTCCCCCATTCCTCGACCCTCCCCACCCAAATCAGTGGTCCACATGGGCATGCATCTTTCTCAAATACGTAAACATCATCAAAAATAAAATGAATATATTATAAAATGTCTGTTGGTAAAACTATTTAGATGATTAGATCACTGATTTTTTTTATATGGAATGTATATGATAAAAAGGCTGTACAATGGTAGAAACTTTAGCACAGATCTAGGGTGAGTGTTTGATCTAATGTTTAAAACCCTGCTTGGGACACCTGTATCTTTTATCAGAATGCTCAGGTCTGAGCCTCAGCTCTGCTCCCAAGTCCAGTTTCCCGTTAATGCACTCCTCCTGCCACTAAGGTAAGGGCTGTTGGGTCCCCATCACAAAATTAGATGCCTGAATCACTGAAGGCATCTGGGAGTAAACCAGAGGACAGCAGTTCTCTATCTGCTTCTCTGTCACTCATATGAAAATAAAATGTAGGGCATTTTTTAAGGGAAAAATAAAAATTACTAGAGGAGAGAGGAATTATATGTGACATGATCAAAAGGTGAAGTAACAAAACGAACTCCAAAGGCAGTGCTATTGGTCAGGGTTAATGATGAGGATAATGTGCAATTCTCACTGTTTAACCTCCTGCTGCACTTACTTTCTATCTTTGTACATGGTTGGCTGGATACTTTCATAGCTTCCTTCTTCGGTCTCATTGGACACCAGGAACCATCTTCTTGGAATTTAATCTCATCCACATCAGAACAATCATTGAGAATTTCCATAAACAGCCTAAAAATCAATTAAGATATGTATATAAAAGTAAATCAATGCTTTGTTGAAAAACAAAATAAGAAAATAATATTGCAGGCAAAAATATCTTAAAAAAACTATAGCTCATTGACATGTACAAAAGTTAAATGGGATGTGGGACAGACTGAACAAGTTTGTATTACATACTGGCAGCAATGGGAACCAGGGAAGGGGGCAGGCCTGGAGGAGGTTATGGGGAGTCACCCCAACTAGGCTGAAGCTCCCACTAATTTGTGTGAGGGTCAAGTATTAAGTGGGTAGGATCGGGCTGGACCGCAACAACCATTGGTTCATGTGGAAAACAGGGCTGGAAACAGAACTGACCCAGCAATTGCAACCACTAGCATGTGCATAAGTTGGCTGGGGCAACGAATGGTGCAGAATCCTATACTGGCAAGCACACACAACAATCAGGTCTAGGATCAACTCAGACGAAGTTTTTTGGGGGATTCCTCCAACTAAATTGCTGATCTCAGAACCTCAACCATCAAGAGACTATGTTAGCCAGTGGATTCTGAAAAGACGTCATTGTGCTTGGAATGCCGAGATTGGCAGCAATTCAGAACTGTTGAACTACCAAAACTGCTTGAACAGGACTCTTGGAGCATGCCCCACATTTGGGACCTGGGATGGGTGGAAGGTTGGGTGGGGCTTCTCCCTTTATCCCTTATCCCAGATATAGAAAAAAAAAAAAATTAATGTGGAAACAATGGTCTTACACACCTTCCTGTAGCCCTTGACCCTTTGTGCCCTAATCAACTATGCAAAGATTATTAAATAAAAATATGTATATAAAAAAAGAAAAACAAAATAAGAAAATAACACTGCAGGCAAAAATGATATCTTAAAAAAAACCCCACAAAACTATAGCTACTTTCCCACCTAGGTTTCAGGTCTAAAACAGGCAACACAAGAATTAAGTGGCTTATAAAGGAATCATCCAAAACATTAATGGCCAGAGACAAAGAGAAAGCAGAAAATGTGTAGTCCTTTGAACAGATCAATAAAACTGACAGACTTGTAGTCAGATTTAGTTAAACTCATTAGAAAAGAGGTATTCTGAGGAGCCCTATATCTAATAAGGACACCACTTCTGAAGTTTAAAACTTAACTATGAAGAAACTTGCATGCTCCAATGTCACCACGGAACTCTACAATATTTCATGAGGAACAGCAACTACATTCAAACTCATTATATAAAATGGCATTACCAGAGATTAAAACCAAACACATGAAAAGAAAGCTTTCCAAAACAAATATAAAAGACAACATATAATGATCAGTTGGGGTTTAGCCCCAGAAAGCAAGGTTAGTTTAACATTTGAAAAGCCCATCAACATAATTCATGAAAAAAACAAACAAATCAGTGCAATAATAAAAAACAAAGAAAAGGCGTTAAATCAGCAACCTCTGTAAGAGCAATATTAAAAAATCCAAATTACATTTCTATTTACCGGCATCACACATTTAAAAGTACTTCAATAATAACAAAACACTCACAAATAAATTTGACAAATGGTGTATAAAACTACAGAACAGGACTAGGACTTGATTAACCAGAGATATCTAACAAGATCCAACACTGTTATGCTATACAGACAATGCAGATCAAAATAACAGTAGATAATTCCTTCTGATAAACTGACTTTTCAGTTTTTATTTATTTGAAAGGCAGTGAGAGAAGAAAAGAAAGAAAGAGGGAGAGAGAAAAAGAGAGAGAGAGACAGACAGAAACACAAACAGGCAGGCAGGGAGAGTTTCCCATCACGGTTTCATTTCCCAAATGCCCTAACAGCTGGAGCTGAATCCGGCCAAAACCAAGAATTCCATATTAGTGCTAGCTAGCCACATCCTGCTGCTCCATTTCTGATATTTCTGATCCAGCTTCCTACTTGTAGTCTAGGAAAGCAGTGGAGGATAGCCCCAAAGCCGTTGGGATCCTGCACCTGTGTGGGAGACCTTGAACAGATTCCTGGCTTCAAACTAGCTCAGTTCTGGCTGTTGTGGCCATTTGTGAAGTGAACTAGTGGATGGATGTAAGGCCTCTTTCTGTCTCTCTTTCTCTGTATAAATCTGTATTTGCAATAAAAATAAATAAAAGTATGAACAGGCATTTAAAGATGACATGAAGATGGAGAATAAACAAAGAGATATAACAGATACAATGTAATAAGGGATATATAAATTTTAAAAATATCACCAGCATGTCAAAATTTAAAGACTAACCGTCCCAAATGTTGGTGAGAACAGGGAGCAACTCTACCTCCCAAATACTGTTAATGGGTATAAACAACAGGACCACCACTTTGGAAAACACTTTAAAAGTTAAGCATATATATGGCATGTGGCCAATCATTCTATACGGACTTGAGCATGAATATTTCACATCACCTTTACTTTCAGTAGCTGAAATAACCAACTAAACGTGAACCAATAAATCACAGTATATGTAGGCAATACAGCACAACTCAGCAATAGAAATGAATTATTGATACATACTGTAAAAGAGATGAACCTCAAGTAAAAGTACTGAGTAAAGCAAACTACACAAAGGAACCACACAATTCCACTCACATAAAATTCTAGGAACTCAAACTAATCTACAGAAATTGTACACTTCACACACATACACTTCTTAAACTTGTACAGTTGATAACAAAAAAAAAGTTGAAAAGTAAGTCAATTTCTTTTCCATGACAAGATCTTTGCCTGCCTCAACTACACCGAAAACTTAGCATAACTCCAAGAAAAATAAAACCCAAACGGCAATGTTTTATGTAATTTGGAAAAGAAAATTAGTTAAGTGAAAGCAGTAGATACCATTTTAAAAGACAAAAGGGTAATGTATCAGAGTAGTCAAGTAAGTCTAATCGAAAAGCTATTTTCTGAATCAAGAAATCAGCTGACATTCTAAAATAAGATTTACTTTAGTTATACAAGGCTAAAAAAGGGTTGAGAAGTGGGCAATAGCACTGGGGCAGGAGAGTGAAATTATACAAGAGAGTATTTTAATAACAAAAAATCTTAATGTTACACATATTCTTTGTGCACGTCTATTTCTATGACATTATCTTAAAGGAAATTCCATGTATACTAAATGTTACCTTCAAAAATGTTCATATCACAAATCAACTTAAATGGAAAAAAAAATTACAGAATGTCAAGTCTTCACAAAGCCCCAAACATCAATGAGCAATGAGCCATGACACATACAATTCTCAAATACTCTGACAGGATTCTACAAATAATAATCAATCTCGTTTGCTATCTATACTGAGAGATTTGTTTAAAAAAAAAAAAGAAAAAAAAAAACCTCTGGCAGAATGTAAACTTATTCATCTGAGCCAAAGTTACACAGGAGGTTTTTGTGCTACTTGCTACTGTCATACTTCTAAGCAGGCAATTTTTCAAATCAAGCTAAAAAAAATTACACAAAAACCTAGAAGAGAAAAAAATGAGAAAGGTGAAAAGTCATGTTCATTATTTAATGCTCTGTTCCTTTTGGAAAATGCACTGCAAGTATGTTTAAATAGTATCTTGTAAAAGTACCTTGTAAAAATATAAATGCTTTTAAATAGATGGCATACTTCTCACTCCATACTGACTGAAGAATCACACATACATTCAAATTACTGTGTAAAGTGTTACTTAATTCTTTGTAAGGAATAAATAACAGCACAGCACCAAAGGATATTTCTCTACTGAAGACTTTAAGGCTTTCATAATTATATATTCTTTTTTAAAAAATAAATATTTATTTTATTATTCCATGATACAGTTTCAAAGGCTCTGGGATTTCTCTTCCTTCTTCCCCAAAGCCCTCCGCCCCGATATCTCTTATATCATTACAACAGTATAGTCCTTCAAAATCCAAAGTCCATCACTCTTCAACTTAAGTGTATCCTGACAATGTAAGCATGCACAATGGCAAAGAGTCCAGCATCCTATTGTCAAGATACATTCAACAGTCTCATTGGGAGTCATTATTATATATTCTAAATCACAGTGTTAGTATATGAATGATATAAATAATTTTTTAAAAAAAATATTAGTTGAAAAAAGAGGTACCTTACTTGTTAAAAATCAGTTCAATACCATTTTATAAATTTGGACACATTCAACACAGTACTTACCAACTTCGAAACAAAACCTCATCAATCCTAACACTTCCTCTAGTTTTCCTTTTTCTTTTGAATAAATTGTATTGCCTAGATAAGCAAAATTTCTTCTTTCCACAAAGCAGATTAACCTCTACTGCACAGTTCCTAATAAAATATGGTCTTGGAAAGCCTGTTTTCCCAGCATAAATTACATTACAGGCTAAGAACCCCTAACCTGAAATTTTTCGACACCAACAGAATGATCACAAGAGTTTGGATCCAGGTACCATATATCTTAAAAAGTACAAGAAAGGATTTTGAATGTTTTCACTACAAATGGATGATAAACAACTGACGAGCTAGATACTTTTAGCTTTATGTGAATACTGCACAACATATAATACATAAGTGAAACATTTTAAATACAAAATATTTAAAATCTATGTAACTAGTTAAGTAAAATAATCAGAATTTTGGATTTTCAGATTAGATGTTCCATCAGGAGAGTTTACACAAATACAACAAAAAACTCCAAAATCTAGAACACATTTGCTTGCAAGCATTCAACATGGGACACTAAACTGTATGAAGATTAAAAAGCTACTAATCACAGTTTTAAAACAAAATTGCATATAATTAACTAGAAAACAGAAAACAAGTACCTTGACTGCACTCTAAAGAAGAATTTATGTTAGGCCATACTGAATGAAGACAGCCAACGGTCAATAAAACAAGGTGTGCTTACCCATCTAATATTAGACTTTCATAGGCAGCTTTCTTGTCACACACAGGACAAATCCAAGTGGGCTTCTTCTCATTCATTTGTAGATAAAGGGCAGCATCAAAACACTGCAGATGGGTACAGGTCACTGCACGGCATGGGATTGTCAGCCTCATTTTCCCTAACTAAAGTAGAGGAAACACAACACAGAAAACTAGTTGGAAAAAGAAGGCTAAGTCTCAAAGTAACAGTCAGTTCTAAAAGTCTGAAGAAGCCACAGAACATGATCAAAATGAAAAAGAAATTCAAGTCAGAATTAATTCCCAAAGAGTACTATACATATACAAAGAAAACAAGACCCCTACCTGGATCCCCAGCTTCCCTAATAATAGCTTCCCTGTTAATTCATTTCTTGCATGTCCTTTCCTATATGCTGAATCCATCATTTATATATTTAAAAAAGAAAATTTCAGAAGTGTTGGCAGACTTTACTATAAATCATTTTAATTGTCGTATAACCTGTTGATTAATATACAGATTGGTACATAGAAGAGTATATCACAGAAAGGCATAATTAATTTATTCCAGTACACTGGTGATGGATATTTAAAATTTTCAAGTTTCTACAATTACAAGCAGTGCTATAGCAAGAATTTACAGTGTATTCCTAGAAATGAAATATTTTAAAATTTAAGTCACATGGAAAATTATTTTCCACAGTTTCCGACCTACCTAACCAATACACACATAAAATATGCGCAGTTCATTTGCCCTTATCAATATATTAGTAAACTTTTTGACCTTTACAAATTTGGTATGTGAATAATACTTGGGAACTGTCTCCTTTATTTTAACTGGTAGCCATCACTCCTTTTAAGGGGAAAAAAAAGAAACAAATATAGCAACACACACTTGTTTCCCTCATTTTTATTTGAAAGGTAAAGAGAAAGAAAGAAAAAAAAAAAGACAAGAGAGAGAGAAATCTGCCATCTGCTGGTTCACAAAGAAACCAGGAGCCCTGAACTCAAATCCACTTCTCCCTTGTGGAGAAGCCATCAGCTGTTGCCTCCTGGGTGTGTATAAGCAGGCAGCTGGAATTAGGAGTGGGCTCGCCTATATGGGACTGCAGTGCCCACTGTTTTACATGGAGAGAGAGGGGTGGAGACAGGTCAAGACAGACTGGAGCATGGACCTCACAAGACAGGAACACACTTAACACTCACAGGCTGGGCTGCAGCACCATTCACATGTAAGTAAGCTGGGACTGGGGGCAGTTCAAATAGTCAGTCCATAGCACACATCAGTATGAGTTAGATTCAGGTCAGGGTGTAGGCCAGGCCAGGATGAACTCAATATCCACTAGTTCACAGGAGGGATAGGGGTGGGCTGGGCCAGGCTAGGCTGTTATACCCACTGGCAAGAGCTGGGACTGGGGACAAGCCAGTAAGCCAGGCTATAGCAGCTGCTGGTGAATGCCAGGACTCGGGGTGGGCAATCTTAGACTGGGCTGCAGCACCTGCTGGCACACACAAGACCCGGGGCGGGGGGAGTGAGCCTGGTAGCAGATCTGTGGGCACTCCCCTGCTAAGCTGTACCTAACACTGGTGAGCACATGAACCAGAACTAGGAGTGAGCCAGGCTGTATAAGGCAATAGCATCTGTGGGTTTGCACAAGAGCAAAACAAAATGTGGGCTGGGCCAGTCTAAGCTGCAGCAGAGGCTGGCATGTGCAAAAAACAAGGCCTGGTGGAGGTTACTGGGGGTCATCCCAACTAGGCCAGGGCACCTGCTAGTCTGCATGAGGACCAGGTCTGTGGCGAGCTGGTTGGGCTAGGCCATAGCACCTGTTGGTTCATGTGAGCTATGGCGCTGAGGGGGAACTGACCAAGCTGCATCCACCACTTTGTGCGTGACAGACCACACCTGATCCTGCACTGGATGGCACACATTTCTCCTGTGCATATATCAAGAGTGGGCCTTCTCAGTGGATGATGTATGTGTAGCTGACAGCATGCTCAGATGCACCAGGGGACATGATGGCTAGCATTCTAGGCCAGCAAGGAACGTTAACTGCCTGGATCAAAGGAAAGAAAGCTGAACAGGTTGGACAATTCTCCTGGCAAAGCCACACAGCAATGTTCCTAGGTCTGTAGATGCATTGAGCTAGACTATATCAACCAGCAGATCCTGGAACGATCTTCTCAACACTGGAGCAACAAAACTGGTAACATAACATGGCTATCAAAACCACTCAAGAAACACTCTTTGAGTCTAGTCGTCTCATATCTTTTTGCACTTAGTCATTCCATGAAGAACAGAAATTATAACGCTTATCCATTAAGATCCAACATGGGAAAACACAAAATTGATAATTCTATCATGATGCTACTGCTCACTCCCCGACTTACTTTTTAGGAAAATTAAGAATTTTATAAATTCCCCAGAATGTTTTGTTGCTTTACTTACAGGGCACATTAAGGATACCCGAAGGCTAGTCGTAGCAATTTCACTATCAGGATCTGCTGTAAGTTTTTCTTTAACTTTAAAAAGGGAAAAAGAATAAAATTTTTAGAAAATAACACTGAAATATGAACAGAACCACAGAAATGTCTTACTTTAAAATTTCTCAAACATCCTAAATAAGTCAACAAATTATAAATTGTTAAGTAATGTATTGAAAACAAAACCTAAAATTCCAAGAGTTGGGCTAAAGACTGATGAACACAAGTTTTAGATGATATACCTGGTTAAGACATAAGAACCAACTAAGGAGAGGAACCTGGGCCACAGCAGTACTGAGTGTCACTGCTCTCTAACACATGGTCATTACTTGTTAATAACGCAACTTCAGATGTTATCAACAACTGGTGAAAGCATTCTTACACTTCAATAGTTCAAGCTATGTGATTTTATTCACCAGGTAATCTATATAAGCCAATGATTACATGCCAATACAATATATACTAGTGTGTTGATGAGGTTTTTGTGTTTGCTTTTCCCCCACTAAAGTACCTCATGTGATCTTACAAACATTACTTACTTAGTGCTCTGGAATGATCAGGGTTTCTAATACCTTTCATTTTTAATCTCTGTAATAACATAGCTGAAGTGAGCTGTCGTACAAGATATACAGACATGGAGTAATTCTACAAAGAAAGATAATCTGTATTAAAGATGAGCATTAACGTTCTTTTTATTTACAGAAAATATTTATATAATAAATTTTCATTTCTAAAAATAGCAATCAGAGTAGCTTCCACAGGAAGACCAACGCCTGGGAAGTGTACAAAATCAACTCCATTACTCCAGGAAAGATAAAAGGTCAATTATTTTAGACATTACTTCTTAATCACACATCACTTCAAAGTATCCATTGGCAAAGTAATATAGATCAGTGGTTTACAAAGCAAGTTGCTAACTTAGCAAAATTGGTACCTTAGGGGCCATCAAGAAGAATGTACCCACCCATGCCTACTTCTAACCAAAACCATTCCAGTTTAGACTACTGTATGTAATAGATTTCTCACAATTTTCTTTAAAAATAGATTCTATTGCAGAAAAAAAGTTCAAAGACCAGTGGTCTGAATGAGTGTTTCAAAGTTCTAACTGGCAGAACAATTTACCTACTACATGGCCTGAGCAAATCACTCACACAAACCCAGTTTCCTGCTTTCCTCTGAAGAAAGCTTTGGCAAATTAGCTCCTGTTCCCAAAAAGTCATGAGCCAGGGGCAGCCACTCAAAGGCATGTGAAGAAATAATAAGAACCAAAGATACAAGGCCAAAAAATAATGTCATCTGATCCCACACCTCTTAGATCTAGCATAAAAACAGCCTTGGAAACTATTTATAGGACTATGAGGAGATCAAACATAATTTTGCTTAAGTGCTGGGGGGAAAAACACCTCTTACCACTTCACTATATGCATATTTCCCCATATAACTGATTCTACAATAAACAGAACATTTTAATTACTGCCAAATCAAATCACTGAAGTACTATGTCTAACAGTCTACAAGTACGAGTCATCCAATACAGTGTATAAATTTAGTCAATTATTTTAATTATAAGAAACAATTATTACTCTTGTTACATGGAAAAACTGCTAAGTTTTTATTATCTACAATCACTTATTTAGTAGAGAGGCTGCAACAGAGTACTCCAAATCACAACATGGAAACATCTACCCATTTCCCACAAAGGCTGATAAGGCCAAACTGTTTTTATACCTTTCCTTATTCATCCCCAACAGCTTCCAGGTTACTAAGCTACCAATTAACACACACATACACAATCATGATGAAAGCACTACCAGGAAAATTAAACAACGGTATCTAGAAAACTTCAGAATCAGAGGTTCAAATCATGAGACTCTTCATTTACCATGAAGTTACCCTCCAATACTCAAAACACAATTTTACCTTTCCAATCTCAGATGCCCAAGAGATGGAAATCTGGTTTGGCACGGCTGAGGATAACCTAACTAAAGATGTGATATTCAAGGGACGCCCAGGGCGCTTCTGTTCAATTCCATTTTTAGGTGGTGGTGCATAACCCTGTAGTCAAAGGAAACAAAATTAGTTCAAATTCTCCCCAAGTGCCTAAATCATTTAATCAAGATATAATTTCAGTTAGACTATTTTTTATCCTAGAAACCACCTTGTCTAAAAAAGTAGAAAAACACAAAATCCATGTTCCATCACTAATGCCATGTTGGATATGAATCTTTCCGAAATAGGACATCAAGCTTCAGAGACAGCATCACCCCTTTAAATAACTCATTTAAGGAAACCCCATTTTAACGCATGATCATAATGAGGGTAAGGGAGAGTAAGGGCAAACTTTGGGAATTAAAAAACAGGCAAATTAATACATCTCAAAGCAATTATTAAAATTTCATGACAAAAACTGTTTTCCAACTACCTTTTCTCAATAAGAAATTGTCATCTTTGTGGCCAGAGTTGTGATGTGTCATGTTAAGTTGCCACCTGTGACACCATCCCATGTGGTCACCAATTCCAGTCCTGGCTGCTCCACCTCTCATCAAGCTCTCTAATGTGTCTGAGAAAACAGAGAAGAAGGCCAAAGTGTCTGGACTCCTGCCACCTAGGTGGGAGACCCAGATGGAGTTCTGGGTGCTTAACCTTGGCATGACACAGTTCCTACAGCTGCAGCCATTTGGGGGAGGGAACCAGCAGATAGATATTCTCTAACACTACCTTTCAAATATATAAATCTTAAAAAATGTTAAGAAGGAAGAGAATTGTCGTTCATTACTTATTCTCTATACAGCACGGAAATAAGAGCAAATTGACTGACAAGTTATTCCTTTTAGACACAAAGCAATAACTTCCCACCACTTTTCACTGAGTCATCAATGCGTATTTTTTTTAAATGAAAATCTGCAATATGTGGGAGAGGTGCAGATACAATATGGCTCTTAAAACCATATTCATCCAACTAATGTCTCAGATTTCCTTGCAAGTGTCGACATCCTAAACTGCATATGTTAATGCTGATAAATCTAGACTTTAATAAAATTACCAAAGAAAGGTTTTCAGATAACAGCCAGGATTCAGGTTCCTTCCTCAAAATGTCCTAAAATTATTTGCTGGGAGAAGAGTGTAGCTAACTAGTTATATCACGGGAATAGCATCAAAGTTGCACCAAGTATAGGCAATGATAATGCATCACAGCTGTTACCCTGTCATCAAGTTTAACATCATTCTGTATTGCAATGAGGTTGATACAACAGGACTAAGAAACATCCTATCAACTACTACTTGAGAATGCTCATCATTGTTCCATAAGAGGTATATACTAACTAATATATAAAATCACACAATTTGTTAGCCTTATTCACAACTTGTAACAAAATTTTGAAAACTATTATGAGTTAAGACAAAAAGAACTGTATTTGAGAGGCAGAGAAGGGGAAAAAGAGAAGGATGAAAGGAGAGAAGTGTGCTGCTGCACCCATTTGCTGGTTCACTCCCTAAATCTGCTGAGCAGACAGGGTGGGCAGGCTCAAGCCAGGAGCCAGGAAACCCAAAGACCCAACTACTGAGCCTCCCAGGGTGTGCACTGCAAGAAGCTGGGATCAGCAGTGGTGCTAGACTCCATTCCGAGCACTCTGATATGAGATGTGGGCGGCTCAAACACTTCCCCCTCAACTTATATTTTAATATGAAAGTTAGAATAACTGAGCATATGTCTGTTTAGAGGTTTTACTCAACTAAATTTACCTGCGTGGAATACAGGAAGTCTGTCTATAACCATACTAGAAAATGATGTGACAAACAACAAGCAGAAGAAATATCAACCTCTGTATCTTGGTAATTTTGTATAAAACTTTTATTTTGCCTATTTTTGGCTTGGAAGATAACTCTGTCCTTTGTTATTTCTACTGACAGGTCAACCAAATAAGAATAATGGCACAAAGTTTGCCAACATGCTAAAAATAACTTATGAACTAGGTTAACATGAACTCTGTATATTGTAATTTGTGTCATAAGGCAAAGTGAGTAATGTGGGCAGGAAGGTTGACAGCAATTCCAAGATAAAATGTTAATAAATTCATAATAACACACTGATCTTGATCATCTGAAGCATTTCAATGTATTCTTTAACTCACTGGAGGGTTTGATTTCATCAACTGTTCTGCTTTATCTGCTGTAACTATATTCTTCCCCTACATTAGTTGTACTATCCGACCCCCATCATCACTGATCTGGTTATCAATGGGCTGTGGTTGAGATTCTGTATGTGTTTGGGGCTCGCACTGTAGTGCAGTCAGTTGAAGTGCCACCTGAGACATCCCATATGGGCATCAGCTGGAGTCCTAGCTGTTCCCTTACGCTAATATGCCGGGGGGCGGGGGAGAACACACAGAAGACAGCCCAGATATTTGGGCTCCTTTCAGCCATGAGAAAGGCCTAAAAGATTCCGAGCTCCTGGTTTTTAGCCTGGCTCAATGCCAGTCATTGCTGCCCATCTGAGGAATGAACTAGAGGATGGGAGCTCTCTCCCTCCCTCTGTAACTTTGCCTTTCAAGTACATACATAGATCCTAAAATATGTTATGTGAACGTGTAGCCTTCACATGCTTCTAACATTCTCAATGAAAAAGCATAATAAAGTTCATCTGACAGGGAACCTAAGGGGTAAATCTTTCTAAATAAGGATTGCTTAAAAAGCAGCAGCAGACAACCCGTTAACCCAATACTTCAGTAAAAGGAATACTTTACACCACATACAATAACAATATCCTATCCTACTTGGGATTAGGACAAACGTTTACAAAGATGTGTCTTTACATTTCCTCCTCAATTTTAAAATAATTACTTCTATTTTAGTTTATTTATTTATTTGTATGAAAAATGGGATTAGAAGATAAGTTTATTTGGTACGTAAAATGTATGCCTATAAGAGATCTCCAAACAAAAAGTACACATTAAAAATTATGAATGGATCTGAATGTTTCATAAAACCAAAATTTTTAACTATATTTTTTTGTGAACTTTATGAAATATCCTGTCACCAATACAGATTTTCAAACACACACAAAAGTAGAGAGAACAGGAAGTACCCACAAACCAACTTCAGTAACAACCAACATAAAAACACATCTGGTTTCATTTGCCACAAAACATACACCCACCACACATATACTTTTCACCATACTTAAATAAGAGCTTTGGATGTGCCATGTGACCCACATAAATTGTAGCATGCATCAAGTAAGGCCTTAAGAAAAAAAAACATTAATCGGGCCAGTGCTATGACTCAACAGGCTAATCCTCTACCTCCAAAGCTGGCATCCCCTAACAGTGGAGATTTAGGTCCAGGCTGCTCCACTTCCCATTGAGCTCCCTGTTTTGGCCTGGAAAAGCAGTGGAGAATGCCTATGTGGGTGCAGGGTCCCAAGGCCTTGAGCCATCCTCTGTTGCCTTACCTGGTCAAACACAAACATGGATCAGAAGTAGAGCAGCTGGGACATGATCCAGTAGCCATATGCAATGCCAGAGCTTGCAGGCAGATGGTAGGCTAGCTGAGCCATCACAATAGTCCCATGCCATTTTCTTACATTACAACGTTTAACTGGCAGACCCCAAATGCACCTCCAGCGTGTAGTGCTTGACAAACAGGTCATATTCTTTTTTTTTTAAGATTTATTTTTATTATTTTTTTTAATTGGAAAGGCGGATATACAGAGAGGAGATACAGAGAGGAAGATCTTCCGTCCCATGATTCACTCCCCAAGTGAGCGCAATGGTCGATGCTATGCCGATCCGAAGCCAGGAGCCTCTTCCAGGTCTCCCACGCGGGTGCAGGGTTCCAAAGCTTTGGGCCATCCTCGACTGCCTTCCCGGGCCACGGGCAGGGAGCTGGAAGGGAAGCAGGGCTGCCGGGATTAGAACCGGCGCCCGTATGGGATCTCGGGCGTGCAAGGCGAGGACCTTTAACCACTTGCGCCACTGCGCCGGGCCCAAACAGGTCATATTCTATTACCCTCGCTTGGAATATGGCTTTGCTAGCCTTCTAAATAACAATACCAACACAGTTAACATATTCCAAGCCTCACTGGAAATCAGTTAAATAAAGTGTTAAGACCCAAGCAAACACAAATTGAAGAGTCTAGAGATATCTATTAGGCAAGCAATGCACTGAGTGTGCTATATAAATATATCCTAGGTTTTGTGTTTAAACAACAGGGCATTAAATATCACTGCACCTTTTCTGAGATACATCAACAAAGTACAAGACTGGAATTTTTTTTAAAGAAAGAATTATTTATTCATTTGAAAGGCAGAGCAACATAGAGATCCTCCCTCTCAAAATGTCTCCAACAGCTGGGGCTGGGCGAGGATCTTCATCCTGGTCTCACCCATGGGTTGCAAGGGTCCAAGCACTTGGAGCATTTTTTTTTTGCTGCCTTCCCAGGGTCAATACCAGGAAGCAGACCAACTAGGACTCAAATTGGCACACCAATGTAATACCTGGTATTGTAAACAGCATCCAAAATTTGGTAACACTGGTCCCTAAGACTGGAATTCTTGATCTCTATGGTCAACAGCTCCCCACTGCCTGTACTTTTCATCAGGTCCCATTTCAACAAGGACCAAGTATAGCTAATCCAAACAGCTATCACAAAATGCTGCTATATGGGAAGTACCCAAGTCCTGTACTGATATGCTGGTTGATATGATCCAAAAAGTCTTTGACAGGTTCCTGATTTCTAGAATAAGATGGTCCAAGTTCATCTTTTCCATTTCCCCCAGATCTTCAGTCAGCGATTATTTCTCCAAGGAGCTGCAGATCTCTCTAGTGGACAAGAGTATTTAAGCTAGATAGTACTAGCTTGAGTTAACACTGTTTCTAGACTTGTCAATGTAACATTAAACTTATGGGAAAACCAAGTAAATAAAATGCAACTTACAGGCAAAGGAAACAGCTTTCCATTAACTTTTATACACAGACTATTAGGATAGTTATCTTCTTGAGGACAACTTGTCTCTGCAAGGCAAAGCCTACATTAAAAAAAAAGGAGGAAAGAAAATTCTTCAACAGTATACTCAAACATGCTTATGTGTTTTCAAATTCATGACTACATATATGTACATAATGAACCAGTATAATGCTAAGGTAACAGAAAAATCTCAAACTCACCGCAATTGAACTTGGACTGTATAATCTCTCCTGCCACCTGGCAAAAAATCTCTGAAGAAAAAAAAAAAAATCAAGTGAGTTAAGAAAACACAGTGAGAATTCATAAGAACATTTTTACCAGAAAGAAACTTATATTAACATTCTTATTCTTATTCCTTAGAAGATAAACACTGATCTACTAAGTCTTTTTCAAAACATTAGAATAATAACTCCCACTTTTTTAACCTTTACCCACGTCTACAGAAATGTTAATGGACATTCAACTCACAGGTAGCTTGATAACACAGTCTTTTTCAAAAGAGAATAAATCTGCTTAACTAGAAAAGGAGCACCCCAGTTTCTGAAATTGCTACTTGATCTATTTGCTTAGTGATTCTTAACCTTGGCTAAACAGTCCAATCATATGAAGGCTTAAAAAAAAATAATAGGACAACCCATTCACTAGATAGTCCTCCAGGTCTTACATGTAGCCTCACAATTAGCTTTACAGTTACTTGGGCAATTCTACTATAGATCAAAATAAAGCAACAGTACCTAGAGTCACAGCATCTCTATACCATGGCAACTTCATACCTAAGCATAAAACTAAAAGCACAGAACTTACTCCCATTTCTACATGAGATTGTATGAATCCTATACAAAAAAATCTTTGATACTGAACTTTCCAAACCCTAGTCACTCAGAATGGAGGCCACGATGAATCAGCATTGCTATTCCTCAGCAGCTTATCTGAAATGCAGAATCTTGGGCCCCATCCCAGACCTAACAGAGTCTGCATTTGAACAAACTCCCCAGGTTACAACTGGTGTACAATATAACTGAAAATATTATCCTAAGTCTTGGGGTTTGTCAGAGACATCACTAGGGTGGTCCTTTCTTGAGAAATCTAGACGAGTACATTTAGCCCTCACGACTATGGCTCGGATATTAGTTTAGATGTTGGATGTCCCCCAAAGACCCATGTGTAAATGCTATTAAGAGGGCAGAAACATAGCCCAATTATGGTACAGGGGCCTTCAGGGAGAAAATGAATCAGGTTAAGGTTAAAGTCCATGCTAAATAAATTTATTGGGGAGAGAGGGACACATGCTTCCTCTTGCTATGTGGAGACCCATGCATTCTATCAGTAGAAAAATCCTTCATCAGAGTCAGAAGCTCAGAGGTCTTCTGCTCTTTGACTGAAGCTCCAGAATCATGAGCCAAAAGAAACCTTAAGGAACTCTCCGTATTCCATTGTAGCAACAAAGTTAACACACTCTGTGTTCTAGAACGGCTGTTTGCTTCCAATCCTCTGCTCACTAGAGGGCAGCGGAGCAACCAGTTTGAGTTCTTCAGTCCCAAGCATTCTTTCCTTCGAATTCTACATTTCTGCCATCTACTTCACTGAGCTGTGACAACTATTTATGTTAATACCTGTAAAGTATCTAAGCTTTAGACAGGCAACAAGTGTGAGCAGCTGGCTATTATTTTTATTTCCTTAGGATTTGAGTCTATAAAAAAAGAGGTTGCTATTATTAAGAAATTTATGAATACAAGTAGTTAAATAAATAGAACTATAATTTAATAGAAAATAAGTGCATAGTACAGTGAGAAATAAAGAATATGTGTGGAAAAAGCTGGAAAAGCATCACAGAGAAGGTTAAGACTTGAACTAAGGGTTCAAGTCTCCCTCAGGTTACAGGGAGAGTAGGGAGAAAGAGTCTGATAAGCAAAGGTACAGAGATGTACAACTGCGTGGGTAACTAAGGAAAGGCAAACAGGAAATCCTTGCCAGCCAGGGAACAGTACCAGGAAATACTACGATTTTTTAAAAAGGAGGGGTCAGAGGTGGGCACACAGGACACTACAGAGAGCTACCAGTCAACACAGCATGGGTTCTTGAGGCCTCACCACAGGATTTTTAAACAAAAAACTAAATGGACTTTACAGTCATCATGAGGTCAGCTGAGAGATGCAGTTAGGAGACCATCACAATAACACAGGCAAGAGATGAGGGCTGTTTAAACATGAATAACATTGAATGGTATTGAGGCATAAGATCGGGCAGGGCTCAGTGACTGACCAGATATAGCAAGGCAGAGTGAGGGGAGGGGAGCATCTAGGATTTTGCTCAGGTTTCCAAACATGGAGAGATGGAGATGCTCTTCACCAGGATAAGAACTTGAGCAGTATGTGACAAGAAGGGAGTTGGATGGGAAGTGGAACAGCCAGCATCTATACCGTATCCCAGTACTTGAAAGGCAAGGATTTAACCATTAGGTCTTGATGAAAGAAACAGATTCCTTGGAGAAGTGATCAGAACAATTAGAGCAACACAAATTACTACCTTTATTTACTTAGTAACTTACTCTATACTGATACAAGTAAATCAATAAAGTAAATAAAGGGAAAAGGACAGTTCTTCCTTACCACCAGTATAAAAAATAGAACCACAGAAAACAATCAATAGAATATAACAATGTTTTAGCCAAATTCATAACTGAACAAGACTTGTAAAGGAACAGTAAATTGGTGGCTGTAATTTTGAAGGGAAATAGAATGTTCCCAGTCTCCAAGTTAACTTTCTCAAAAAAAAATATCCATCAACAAAAACAGCTAATTAAGACTCCAGTGCAAACAATACCTTTATCAAGTGATCAAGGTTAATATCACCAAAAACAACACATCAGCATTACGTAGCTCCTCAGGCAACCAGCATTCAGGTCCCTCACACCTGCATGGAAGACTAAGACTACACCCTGGCTCCCGGCTTAGGCCTGCCTCAGCTCCAGCTACTGCAGGTTTTCAAGGAGTGAACCAGTAGGTGGAAGATTTTATTCTGCCTTCAAATAAATTTAAAAAATTTTTAAAATTATTACCAAATATGACAAATACTAACTTAAAAGTTGAAGTTTTATGCAAAAGTTTTTTCTAATTCATAATTTTTTTTCTAATACATAAAATGCTTTTCTAATTGTAATCAAAATAGAGTCCTATTACTCAAGGAAAAATAGCCTGTTACAAACTAAGTCTTCATATGAGTCCATAACTCCCTTGCACCTACACTTGAAAACAGCACTTTGAAAGAGCAAATTAAGGTTAAATAAGGGCCAGAAGGATGGACTTTTAATCGAACATGAGTGCCGCCTTCCTAACAGAATACACCAGGGATGCACAGATACTAAGGAGAAGGGAAGTGATGAAACAGTAAGCAATAGAAGTGAAAAACAAAGGCCTAAGGAGAAACCAAATTGGCTAATAATTTGATTTTCGACTGACACCTCTAAAATTTTATTTATGCTGAAGCCTCCCAGAAGCCACCCAGTTCAGTGTTTTATTATGGCATCCCTAGCAGACTAAGCTATAACAGTCAAGAAGAAACACATCCCCAACATTCCTCTTACCTGGATATGCATATCTCTCTAACTTGTTGAGGTGTCAATGCAAAAATAAAAAACTTCTCTTGAAATCGTTGAATACTGCTTTGAACTGAGGAGAAAAAAGAAAAATAATTTCAATAACAAATGTAAGAAAACAAGCAGGGACTTCTGATAAAAAGTATCTGCCAACTTCTAAAATGTTTAAATGTGAAATATTTTTAAATCAGGAAAAGACTGAACTGCATTCATCTTGGAACCATGAGTCACCCTAAGAGATATGTCTTTCATTTTTTAAAACATTTATTTATTGGGCCCGGCGCGGTGGCACAGTGGTTAAGGTCCTCGCCTTGCATGCCCGGGATCCCATATGGGCGCCAGTTCTAATCCTGGCAGCCCCGCTTCCCTTCCAGCTCCCTGCCCGTGGCCCGGGAAGGCAGTTGAGGACGGCCCAAAGCTTTGGGACCCTGCACCCGCGTGGGAGACCTGGAAGAGGCTCCTGGCTTCGGATCGGCATAGCATCGACCATTGCGCTCACTTGGGGAGTGAATCATCGGATGGAAGATCTTCCTCTCTGTCTTTCCTCTCTGTATATCCGCCTTTCCAATGAAAAAATAATAAAAATAAAAATCTTTAAAAAAACATTTATTTATTTTGATTATAAAGGCAGATTTACAGAGAGAAGGAGGGAGAAAGATCTTCTGTCCACTGGTTCACCCCCCAAGTGACTGCAACTGCTGGAGCTGAGCCAACCCGAAGCCATGAGCTTCCTGTGAGTCTCCCACGCGGGTGCAGGGTCCCAAGACTTTGGGCCATCCTCCCCTGCTTCTCCAGGCAATAAGCAGAGAGTTGGATGGGAAGTGGAGCAGCAGGGATTAGAATCAGCATCCATATGGGATTCCAAGACATGCAAGGTGAGGACTTTAGCCACTAGGCCACTGCATTGAGCCAAAGATACCATAGATTTAAGCATTTAATCATTCTTTATCCCAATTAAAAAAAAAGTCCATGCACAATTTCACGGAATTTCTTGGTACCAAAATAAACTTGTATTAAACTTGTATTGACAGGAACTGGTTTGAATCACTAGTAAGAACATCAGCTTGAAAGAGAGTTAACTAAGAACACTCATGAATTCTGTCAACACTGAAACAAAGTGAAACAAATTTACAATTAAGCGTGGGCATAAGAATGGAGAAACTGAGACTGCTGTGGCACAGTGTGTAACACCACTGCCTGCCACCTTAGCATCCCTTTTGGGCACCAGTTCTAGTCTAGATGTTCCACCTCCAATCCAGCTCCCTGTTAACGACCTGAGAAAAGTAGTGGAGGATGGTTCATATGTCTGGGCTCCTGCCACCCATATGTGAGACCCAAATGGAGCTTCTGGCTCCTGGTTTTGGATTGGCCCAGCGCTGGCCAATGCGATAATCTGGGGAGTGAAGCAGTGGACCAAAGACTGTGACTCTATAACTGTGACTTTCAAAAATAAATAAATAAATCTTTAAAGGGAAAAAAAAGGAAAGAATGAAGAAATCTCTACCACTGTATAAAAAGTTCATAAAGACAATGTTCTAAATAAGTTAGCAGTTTATATACTAACTTGTTTTAAGTGGGAAAGAAAATTATGTTGAGCATGAAATATCCCATGCACATAAATCTTGAGAAGAAAATTATTCTGTCCCTTTACTGGAGACAAGTGATCAGCAGCAATGACCAACACCACAGATGTCTGTGTCACTTCAGCTTACACATGCTGAACCAATCTCCTAACCAACAGCTGGCCCAGATCAGTTGTAAACAAGAGAGCAGCTTTCAGCAAAAATGTTAAATGAGCATGTTAAGATCCTAAATTTTCTTAGAGGAATTGAAGTGCAGCTTTATCAGGATGATCCTGAAGTCAGAGCTCAGAGCAATACCTACCAGGAGCAGGAAGTGGGCTAGTCAGATCACAAAGTGGCCTGACTGGTCAGAAGCAAAGGGCATGTGGACAGCTTTTTCGGATGTTGGGTCTTTTGGTGGTAGGAGAGAAGCTGACTTTCTGGAGGGCCACATAGTGAAGATACCTGCTATTACAAGAATGTTCTCAAGAAAGTTAGCCAAAGCTTTAACAGAAAAACACCTGGCAAAGTTTCACTACACAGTCCTAGTCCTTCACAACACTGCTCCTGGGCCATTCCTCTCATGAAGCAAAGGCAAACTTAACCCACTTCACAGTCCTGACTTGACTCCTCCTCTTCTGTTCCTTACTCATCAAAAATCTTCAAAGAACACTAAGATTCCTTCAGGTAGCATTCATATGGCTAAACTCCCAGGAGCTCCAGTTGTTTCAGCATGGACTATGTGGCTGTTATCACTTAACAAAGTCACATAGAGTCAACACATTATAGATTGAAAAATAAACTTTATATTTATTTTTATCTTTTATCTGAATTTCCCCACAAATTTTCTGAAGTTTTCTCATATACTAAAAACACAACAAAAGAAGTCAAGAAATAGTCCCCAAGAAAGTACTCATTTGTCATGTTTTGTTTTCATTGTTTTATATTTAATTGCTCAGAAAACAAAATTTTAGATTTTAAAACTTGTTATTCAGATAGTTATTAAGATACATAATCATCTGGAGCCAGCAATGTGGTACATTGGGTTAATCGGTCTCCTACAATGCTGGTATCCCAGGTAAGTGCCAAGCTCAAGTTCCAGCTGCTCTACTCTCTATCCAAATCCTGGGGAAAACCAGTTTCTTAGAAAAACAGAAAAAAAGGCACAAATACTTGGGTCTCTACACCCATGTGGGAGAGGTGGATAAAGTTCCTACTTCTGTCTTTGCCCAGCATGCTTCATGGTAAAAATAAGTAAAAAAGAAAAAAAAAATCCACAAATCAAGGATGTGGGAAGAAAGTCTTCCATTTTCCAACAACTTGTATAACACAGACATTAAATCCCAAATACAACCACAATATCTTCCATCACACCCTTCTTGTAACAACTCTGATATTCCTCCGGTTAAGGAACAGTGGGGTCTACATCATCCTCCCATTTCAGTTCAAATGAGATTTCTTGGAACAAATACAATATAAGGGATGCTACATAACATGCAATGATAGTAATGTAAGTCCCACAACTGCTTCCTTGCTGTCAAAACACTCACTTTCGGAATCCAGCTCTCATGCTAGAAAGAAAATCAAACTAGATCACATAGAGAAGCCACATGTGGGGACTCCAACCAACAGCAAAGCTGAGGTCAAGCCATCAGGTAGCAGCATGGCCACCAGACTTGTCAGCAAGGATGTCTCCAAATGATCCAACCTTCTAATCATCAAGTCATCTTCTCAGCTAAGGCCACAGGCATGCTGGGATAAGGAAGCCCTTCCAAATTACTAACCCAGAGAATTCATGAGCATAACCATTTGTTTTCCACCACTCTGTTTCCACACTATGTTACACAGCAGCAGTGAGTAAAACAGTGCTATGATCTCATGAAGCAATTTAACACAATCTTTTAAATTCCAAATTATATTCAGATTCATTTATGAATGCTACAAATTGATGAGGCCAGCTGAAATTTTGTGTAACTATATTTCCAAGAAATATCATCAGAAAAGATGGTCACAGAACAAAAACTCTCATGGTGGACAGATGGTCACAGCACAGACTCTATGATACATTACTCCTTGAGATTACATGTGATACAGAAACTTACATTTCAAAAATGCTTTATGAATGAGAAGAAAAAATATGACACGGAAATAAGCAGCTACTGATATGGCTAGTGTAATAAAAAGTGAAATTCTGAGGGACTTTCCCTGTTATAGTTCTGTAATGTTTGAATTTAACTACAAGCACGAATTACTTTTGCAATTTAAAAAGAAGAAATTTCAAGGAATCAAGGATTTATATACAAAAAACCTTAGATTTCACAGATTATTAAACAGTTAGACCTACCAATATTTACTATATATAAAAACTGGGGCCCGGCGTGATGGCACAGTGGTTAAGGTCCTCGCCTTGCGCACCCAGGATCCCCTATGGGCGCCAGTTCTAGTCCCGGCAGCCCCGCTTCCCACCCAGCTCCCTGCCAGTGATTTAACTCAGGAAAAAAAGAGGCAAGAAGACCTTTAAGATGTAGCAACTTTGATTTTTCTGCAATGTGAAAGTAGATCCACAGGTGTTCACTCACTCCCAAGGCTGGGAACAGGCCAGGTTGGGCTAGGCTGTAGCACCTATTGGCTCACAAGAGAACCGGGCTGGGGGAAGGTCAGGTTAGGTTAGACTGTAGCACCTAGCAGCACTCAGAAAAACTGGAGCTGGTGACAGGCCGGGAAAGGGTTATCAGAGGTCACCCCAAGTAGGCCTCAGCACTCAATGGTGTGCATCTGAGCCAGACGAAGGAGGGCTGGGCTCAATAACTCCAGGTTGATAGGGCAGCTGAGAAATAAGGCAGGCAATGGGATTGACCAGAAAGCTACACCCACCAGTACACGAAATGGTTGTTGTAGGAGATGGACTGAACCTGATCCTGCACTAACAAGTACACGCAAGAGTCAAATCTGAGGACTTCCCAGGTGAGGTTTCTTGGAGGACTCCACAACTAGACCACGGGAATCAAATCGACCCATAGGGAAAACCATGAGATACAGGGTCTCACCTTGGAATGCATGTATTGGGACTAGGTCTTCTCAGTTGCTGATTCCTGTACAGTGGAGAGCATGCCCAGATGCACACAGGAGACAGGACTACCAGTTCATCTAAGCCAGCAGAGGATGTCAAGTACTTCCTCAGAGGATAGCAAACAAAGCAAACTGGACAACTTTCCTGACCAAGCTTTGCAACAACTGTCTGGGTCTGTGATGCACTAAGGTGGACTTTGGATTTTCTTAACCCTGGTACGTTTTATCTAAGCCAAGTAACATAGCCATTGAGGAAAACAAAACTTTTACTGAATCCTTTCTGAGTGAGCAGGTGTCCTCTGCAACCAGCCACATTTCTGCAACAGCTTCTGTAACCACAGCCCAAGGACAGGATCCTCCCTGACCACTCATGAGGCACATTTCTGAGGAACCCTACGTGATAGTAGGGCTACTAAGGCATAGCACTAACCTGAATAATCCA